TTTTTTATCATGGCTCCTAATACCCTCCGGGAGTCCAGTTGGGTGGGTTGAACTATCCAATTTGCCTTTAAACGGCCAATTTACCGGTTTACAACTTGCACCGATATCATTAAATCAAGCCTACCACGAACATATATGACATTATATAATGATCATAAACGCCTCCAAACGGAATTATATGACCCCGAGATGTATCCCCAAGAATTTCAAGACTTTTCGACACCAGGCCTCGAATCCTCCAAAATTTCTCAAAAAGTGTGGATATTTTAGCCTTCAATTTTGTAATTTTTGACTTTTTTTCAGCGGAAAAAAAAATTGCTGAAATGTTTACCATGGTCCCTATTACCCTCCGGGAGTCCAATTGGGTAGGTGGAACCATCCAATTTGCCTTTAAACGCCCAATATACCGATTTACAACTTGCACCGATTTCATTAACTCAAGCCTACCACGAACATCTATGACAACATATAATGATCATATATGGTTTTAAACGGCATTATATGACCCCCATATGTATTCCCCAAAATCTCAAGACTTTTCGACACCGGGCTCCAAAACCTCCTAAATTTCTTAAAAAGCGTGGACACTAGCGTTCAATTTTGGAAATTTTTGATTTTTTTCACCCAAAAATAAAAGTTGCCAAAATATTTACCATGGTTCGTAATACCCTCAGGTAGTCCAATTGGGTAGGTGAAACCATCCAATTTGCCTTTAAACGGCCAATTTACCGGTTCACAGCTTGCACCGATTTCATCAACTCAAGCCTACCATGAACATGTATGACAACAAATAATGATCATATATGGTTCCAAACGACATTATGTGACCCTGAGATGATTTTCCTAGAATCTCAAGGCTTTTTGATACCGGGCCCCGAACCTCCAAATTTGGAATTTTTAGACTTTTTTCGCCTGGAAATAATAATTGTCGAAATGTTTACCATGGTCCTTAATATCCTTCAGGAGTCCAATTGGGTGGGTGTAACCATCCAATTTAACTTTAAACGACTTATTTACCTGTTTACAACTTGCACCGATTTCATTAAATCAAGCCTACCACGAACATTTAAGACAACATAAAATGATCATATATGATTTCAAACGTCATTATATTACCCCCGATATGTATTCCCTAAAATCTCAAGGATTTTTGACACTGTGTCCCGAAACTTCTAAAATTTCTCAAAAAGCGTGAATATAAGCCTTCAATTTAGGAATTTTTTGACTTTCTTCGCCCGTAAATAAAATTTATAAAAATTACAGAAATTTTTACCATGGTCCCTAAAACCCTCCAGGAGTCCAATTGAGTGGGTTGAACTATCCAATTTGCCTTTAAACGGCCAATTTACCGGTTTCCAACTTGCACCGATATCATTAAATCAAGCCTACCACGAACATATATGACAACATATAATGATCATAAATGCCTCCAAACTGAATTATATGACCCCGAGATGTATACCCGAGAATTTCAAGACTTTTCGACACCGAGCCTCGAATCCTCCAAAATTTTTCAAAAAGTGTGGATATTAGCCTTCAATTTTGTAATTTTTGACTTTTTTCAGCCCGAAAATAAAAATTGCCGAAATGTTTACCATGGTCCCTAATATCCTCTGGGAGTCCAATTGGCTTGGTGGAACCTTCCAATTTGCCTTTAAACAACCAATTTACTGGTTTACAACTTGCATAGATTTCATTAATTCAAGCATATTACGAACATTTATGACAATATAAAATGATCATATATGGTTCCAAACGACATTATATGATCTTGAGATGTTCCCCCTAAAATATAAAGATTTTTCTACATTGGCCCTAAAACCTCCAAAATTTTTTGAAAAAACGTGGGTATTAGCTAGGGGGTGAGCATGGGACGGGTACCCGTACCGTTAGTACTAACGGTTCGGGTACCCGATAACCAAAATCACTAAAAGTGATACCCATAACCAAAACCGATAAGTTCGGGTACCCGGACTTCGGTACCCGGAATTTCGGATCGGTTATCGGGTACCCAATAAGATATCCAACAATGATAATTAAATTTAATTATATAGTTATTATGATATAATTTACAACTAATTAACAACAATACCATATGATCTTGACCAAATTATTAATAATATTACTAATCATTGATATTATAAAGTGATTATGAAGTAAAGTAAAAGTTTAGATTTATATTAATAGATTTAAGTAGGAAAAAAAAGCAAAAAAAAATGATTATAGGATCGGATCGGGTAACCGTTAATTTTAAAATAATACCCATAACCATACCCGATAACAAATTATCGTAACGGGTACCCGAACCGTTATGGTTATCGGATCGGGTACCCTAATTTTTGGAATGGTTACGGGTCGGTTTTTCGGGTTTTCGGTTTTTCGGGTAGTTTTGCTCAGCCCTAGTATTAGCCTTTAATTTTTAATTGAATTTTTTGACTTTTTTCGCCCGGAGATAAAAAATTCCGAAATGTTTACCATGGTCCCTAATACATTCGGGGAGTCCAATTGGGTGTGTGGAACCATCCAATTTGTTGTTAAACAGCCAATTTACCGGTTTACAACTTGCCTCGATTTCATTAATTTAAGCATACCACGAACATTTATGACAAAAAATAATGATCATATATGGTTCCAAACGGCATTATATGACCCCGAGATGTATCCCATAAAATTTCAAGACGTTTCGACATCGGGCCCCGAAACCTCCAAAATTACTGAAAAAGCGTAGATACTATCCTTCAATTTTTGCATTTTTTGACTTTTTTTTCTCGGAGTTAAAAATTGTCGAAAAGTTTACCATAGTCCTTAATACGCTACGGGAGTCCAATTGGGTGTGTGGAACCATCCAATTTGTTATTAAACAACCAATTTACCGATTTACAACTTGCACCGATTTACCGGTTTATAATGGCCAATTTAATTAACTTGCACTGAACCCGTTTTGAACCGAAATTGACCCTAACCCGTTTTAACCAGTCAAAAACCAAATTTAACCCGACTTGTTACTAACCTGACCTGAATTCAGCCCGACCCGTTTCTAACCTGACCCAAATTTAACCCAACCTTTTACAAACCCAACCCGAAATTAACTCGACTTGTTATTGACCTGACCCAAATTCAACCCGACTTGTTATTGACGGGACCCGAATTTTACCATACCTATTACTTACCCGACCCAAAAATTCAACCGGATCTGTTACTAACCTGACTTGAAATTAACACGACTGGTTATTGACCCGACTTAAATTCAACCCAAATTGTTCCTCGCCCGATTTGAAATCACCTTAAATGCAATTTAGACCACTTTACTATTGTTGATCAAAGCATTTTATATAGGGAGACCAAGTCGGTCCAGGCAAGCAAAAGAAAGGAGCATCATCCTCAAATTTAAGAGTTAAATATAGTATATATTTGTTGTATGGTCAAAGGAGATAATTATCTTTCTAAATTATAGACTATAGTTCCTTAGTATATTGTCACATATATTATAGTCAAAGAAAATAATTAGCTTGATAAAAATGATAATTATCTATTTATAGTTAGTTGAACCCGAATATGAACTGACTTGGAAATGACTCGATCTGATTTTAACCCGCAAATTATTGACTTGAACATAACCCAACTTGAATCCGAGAATGACCCGACTTGGAAATGATCCAACCTGATTATAACCCGCAAATTGTTGACTTGAACCGAACCCGACTTGAACCCGAGAATGACCCGACTTTAAAATGACCCGACCTGATTATAATCCGCAAATTATTGACTTGAACCGAACCCGACTTAAACCCGAGAATGACCCGACCTGATTCTAACCCGCAAATTGTTGACTTGAACCGAACCCGACTAGAACCCAAGAATTACCCTAACCCGTTTTAACCCGTGAAAACCCAAATTAAACCCGACCTATTGTTCACCCAACCCGAATGTAACCCGACTTGTTATTAACTGGACCTAAAACTGACCCAAACCCGATAAGAAGTATGACCCGACTAAAGCATGACCCAACCCAAACCCGACCCGCATAAGTTTTGGAATTAATCCGAATTGACCCGACCCGACCCACTCTCATCCGACTCAAACCCGACCCGTTTACCCGAATTGGCTGCTCTACCCATACCCACCATGGTTGATGGGGCGAGGTGGATTTTAGATTGTACTCGTCCTACTTCATACCCATCTCATAAATGCGTTCATATATGTAAAATAAATATTAAAAAATGTACTTTTTACTTTTACAAAAACATAAGCGAATTATAGTTGTAAATATAGTATTTTGTAATATATTTGTACTACTTCTGTTTTATATTATTTGCAAACTTTGGAGTATTATTTGTGAGCTATAAAAATATTCTAAGTAATTCAATAAAGAAAACACCGATTGTGTAATATTAAACTATTAGGTGAACTTTTTTTTCTTTGCTTGTATATTTTGGAGGTGAGGATTAAGTGGCTCTTGGCTGGGATTAGGTGTGAAGCGGTGTGTGAAAGGTGAGGATTAGGTGGGTATGAATATCCAAAAGGAGGTGGGGCACGAATGAGATGAAATTAAGACCCACGACAGAGATGAGGATAATAATGTTACGTGGGGATGTGATGTGATGCAAAAGCAAACATTTATCCCGCCTCATTGTTATGATGTTAAATTAGGCAAAATTTGCCAAAAAAACAAGATAAGGTTAAAATAGTAATTGTGATGCGGTATAAAAGGTAGAAACTGACAGTGGCGGATCTATTAAGGTGCACAGTGAGTCACGTGACTTACCAGCACAACAAAAAAAAACAACTAAGAGACCCCCTATTACAGATAGGCGGTCTCTTTGCTGAAGAGATCGCCTATTAAAATATAAGATAGGTGGTCTCTTTGTTGCTTCATTAGAGACCTGCTTTCATATTTCATTAAAGAGACCTGTTATATTTAATAACCGGTCTCTTAAGTTATCTAACTTTTTTTTTTTTTTTTTTTTTAAATTTATAATTCTTGTTTTTAAGTGAAAAATAGTGAAAAATCATAAAGTTAGTTTAATGTAATAGTTTTATAGTATGTATTTTTAGATCCTATTTTTGGATTGAAATCATTTTGGTGAAATATAATTTTTTTTATATAATTTTTGGATTGAAACAAGTGATCAATTATTGATGGTGACTCATAAGTTCGAAAATCCTGGATCCGCCACTGGAAACTGATATGAAGTATTTTTTGTAAGAGAATGTAGTAACTACCAAGGTGTTCATTATACCAGATAGCAAGTGACAAATTCCTCAGTTCTAATCATACTGATCAAAAGCCTTGGTGCAAGAAAACTTTGTTCATTCTATGCCAATAAAACATAGTTTGATGATACGAAAAAGTGCCGAATTGTCAGCAAAATATCAAAACAACTAAACTTACTAACTAATAGCCCTGTCCTCTATCTTGCACCAGTTCTCTAACTTACTTATTCCCTTTAATACTATATACAAACTACATATTTCCATAAACAATCACTTGGCCGTCATTAAAAAAACTCACTAGCTCAAGTGCTTCGACTGCTTCCTTTACTTTATAATCCCGAATTTTTTCTCCATTTTGCTAATCTTAGTAGGAATGTTAGTACTTCAGAAGGATCACGCAGGGAATGCGACGCCTTTGTCTCCTTAGGATTTTGTGACACAAGAATTGGAAATCCTTGTCCTCTTTTCTGTAACACCTGAAAGAACATTTTGTTTCAGTCACAATAAGCCCCAATGAATATCCTCCCCTGGAGCAAAATAATCTTATAAAACGAGTAGGTGAATCAAGTAAGAGAAGGAAAATACCTCGAAGGCATCTTCATCTGTTCGATCATCTCCTATGTAGATAGGAAGGACATCACTCGATTCAGCTAGACCTAGAGTGTCGAGTAAGTATTCTAGAGCATTACCCTTATTCCATTTTATAGATGGACGTACCTCCCAAACCTGTAAATGGTGTCTTGCATTAGTATTACAATCAATCGAGTGCACATAACAAATCGATTTCAGTTTATTCAGATGTTCTGTAATTGAATAGCCTTTCATCTTACCATTTTACCAGTAGTAGCATGAAATCGAGCATGTTTTTTCAAAACTTCCTTCACAACCTTTTTGACATCAGAATGAACCTGCAATTCCCAAGCAGTAAATCCCTCAGATAAATTTGAAGGTACATTATGTTAAATCGTTGTAAAAATTTTGCATAATAACAATTATTAGCTCTTATCTTCTGCATGAATTACCTTCTCTTCAGCTCTACGATAGTGAACAGAGATACAAAATCTATTGTGTTCAACTGTCACCCCTTTTAGCTCCTTTGTTGCCTTTTCGAGCTCATCATATATCTATTATGACAATCAAATATTCAGATATTATGTCATGAAAAATAACATCCTGCATAATGATTATGCCTTATGTTTATTAGATTTCTTTACAAGAAATTGCCTAATCATTAGCTTACCTTTTCGATTTCAGGCAAGAATTCTTGAGCGGGTTGAAAGATTACAGAGTTATCCTACAGTCCATAAGAAAGGTCAATATATGGTAATTTATTGTATCGAACACAATTATGTATCAAATAAAAGAGAAGGCCTACAACAAACCTTTTCGACAGCAACCGGAGGCTGGTAATTATTGTAGTCACCGGCCTTGTGCTTCCTTGGCGGAGCCATGATATCCATACCATGGCTCCCGGCATAATATACTTCATCTAACTTAACAAAGCCATGTACCTAACAGAATGTTAGAGGACTTGTATTAGCATTTAGCAACACTCACACTCTATAGATGTTTTAGGAACCAAAATATTATATTTCAAAACAGGGAAAATGCTGTAACTAATAACAGATGAACTTACCTTATCTCGGCTTCTTCCACTGATAATTGCTGTTGGAAAGATCCCTGCAACTTCACGTAATGCTACTCTCATCTGCACAACAAACACGATGCAGCCATATCACAATATTAACAGTAAGCTATCTCATAATCTCACTAAAAAAAAGCCTAGTGCATTCTGTACAAGTGTGTAGGAAAATTATTTTTTTACCGCATCAGACATGAAGGCTAACTCAGGATCATTAACAATAGGGGAGAGTGTCCCGTCATAGTCTAAGAACATAACGATCTTCTTTCCCTTCGCTGTATTCATCAGTTCCTCAAATGAGTTTAATGCCGAGGGATGATCAATCTACAAAACCAATGAAACAGATTATAATACATAGAACACATTTCTAAAAAAAATGAGACTGATTTAGAAATAAACTCTGGATTTTCTACTTACCAACCACTCTTCATATGTTTGTTCAGCAGTTGGTGTTATTGCCTTTTGTTCACATGGTTCAGGTGTCACCATGCTACTCCTTTCATTGCGCACATTCGATGCAAATCCATGAGATTGTGAAGTCGAGGGATGTTTGAAAAGTCCTATTGCATTGAACAACTTGCTCAACTTGTTTCTCATCATCTAATTTCATACATCAATTGAAAACAGAATGTCAGGATTTAGCAAGACTTCATCTAGGAAATGTTACAAGCCCAACAAGTCGATAATGTTAGGCTATATATGAAACATTAAAATCGAGTAACACCACGCAATTTTTACCTTAAACGAACTTGCTAGCTGATTATTAACACTAGAAGGTACAAGTGTTGAACCTACAGCTGAATTTGCAGTTGATGTAAGAATTTTTAATAAAAATGAAAATCTAAAAGAACAAATGCTCTTATTCACCAATCACATGAAGTCATGAAGTTTAAAGACAAATTTATGGATTAGAAAGTCACAAACTGACAAGCAAGCTGGCCTAATAATATTTTATTCTCATTTTCCTCTAAAATTTGGGATCATGAAAGCTCTGTTAGCTTTAATTAATTTATAGGCTCCTATGTTTAATAAGAAAAAAAATGTGTTCTCTGGCTTTACTGTCGAAAACAAACCTTAGAAAAGGAAAGATTACTGCACTACATACCACCTGACTCGATATTTAATCGATTCGTACAAAATCATGAAGAAAATCTAGTGTAGTTTTTTACAAGGTACAATCAAGAATAATTGAGCTTCAAACCAATTGTACTTAAGAAAAACATTGTTCATGTTCACCTAGTCAGATATTGGAGTATACACATTGCATAAGAGACTGAAATCAACCAAATGTTGTTGGTTTCTCTTTTTTGGTTCGAAAAGAAGGCAAAAGGCTAATGGATCATCCAATCTCCAACTTAGGAAACAAAACTCCTAGCCACTAAAACATTGTTTGATTTCGAATTCTTTTGGTTTATAGGATGTACGTACTTAAAGCATGGTTAGATACTTACATATATAATTAATAATCATTGAGCTTATTAATTAATTAAATAGTATTCGAGTGATAAGAGACAGAAGTTATTTTAAAACAAGTTTAACAACCTCTGGATTGGCTTTTCAAAATCATGAAAAGCCTTCATCAAAAACAAATAAAGAATCATGAAAAGGCAAGAAGCATGTATTCCCTATCTGCAAAAAGAGTACAATCTCTAATCCTAGTAAAAAATCTCAGTTATGCAGAATCTAAAATGGATATGCAGTCCAAATCATTGGGAAATCGATCATGGTGAAAACCCGAGAAATCAGCTTCAACTACCAATTAATAATCTCGATTCATCTGACATAACGAATAAATTAACATAAACTGACAGCATTTGCACTTCAGAAACTGATATCATCTGACAGCACAGACAGTTTAAGTAAAAATTAATGATTTAGATCCACCTTGGGTTTCTAGACTCCAAAATCACAGAAACTCACACATATGGAAACAGATTATCACCTGCGCCGCTTATTATATAGTATACGATAATTAATTAAATCAAAACTCAGCCCCAACTAACCATAAGTTTTTAAGTATTGGCAGAAAACCTTAAATGAGAAAACAAAACATGGACATGTGATCACACATGGTGAGTTATATATATCAACAGCTCTATGATTCCTATATATCATATTCGTAATAACAGATTTGGGCGCAACTAACAAGAAGTTTCAACGAAAGTGAAGAGATTTCCCCAGCTTAAAATATATGCACACATCTATGACAGCTTGATAAGTCGCCTTCAGACTATGGAAAATGTGGCATCAGCTATTATGGATGCTAATACATTATCAAATAAGTTGGTTAAGAAACACAGCACCTAAGAACTGACCTCATGACAGCAATGCATACTGACTTGAACTATTCTCCACATAAAACTCCAGGATAACAAGTCAACGAAACGTACTGTTCTTGATAAATTAAACTTAACACATCTGAAGCTGATTTAGAGATGTCTGCCTTAGATTTTCTGTTGATTATAGTTGATTTAACTTATCATATATAGTTTTCGTCTATGACATATCAGTTCAACACTCCATTCTATAACACCATGGTCCCCCCAAGACTTATAACTGCGCGAATACATGATGATCAACACACAAAACATCAGCTCTATGTTATTGACACTACTAGTATTTCAATCCAAACAGATACAACAGGGTGTGATAAAGATGTTGCAATGTAGGAAAAAAAAAATTTAGAGAATAAACAACAATTATGAAAGTTGGAACAAAAAAGTAGTTGGATCAATATGATAATATATTATGAAAAAACAAAGATTGAGATGTGCATGAACCTGGAAGCTGGAACAAGGTTTCTCATCTAAGTCAAGAAATAGATAAATAAATGGCTTACAAGTTACAAGTGTTTATGATGATAACAACTAAATCTTGTCTGACCCAATGGCGGATTTGCTCAAGGAGAAGCTAACAATATAATAACTATAAATGATTTTCAATTTGGAACAGAACACTGCACAGAAGCATTTCATATAATAGTCGAGTCTAACTCTTGGACACATACCTAAGCATGCCTAACACGAGTACCTCAGCTCGAGTAACATAATTGCCAAGTAAATCTAGAAAAATAGTGAAGGATGAAATACCTATTGAAGCAGAGTTGCAAAAGTGTGGTGAAGTATTTGATTTTTGCAGCTCTTCAAAAAATACGAGATTAGCTACATAAAAACAAGGTTATAACATTAAACCACAGATTAAGAAAGCTTAATATACAATCATTAAGCATTTAAGTTGGACTGGTTTTGACAGAAACCAAAAGTTAGGCATTTTCTAAAAAAAAGTTTAATGATATGACCACTAATTTATTTCTACATTAATAGGGAAATACCAGACATATAGTGGAATTTAGCTTATAAATTCATGCAATTTATTAATAAAATTCCAAACTTTAACCAAAAACCATGAGCACCACCAAGTCTAGCTATACCTAATTAAGGAAATAAACATTGGTAGAAATCGTATTATTTGTAGGAACTATCTAGCAAGAAAATGGGCATTTAAGCAAAATTATAATCATCATTACACTAATATTGAGTATGGATTTAAAGATTAACTAGATTCCTAAATATGATGGGTTTTTAAACTTTAATTTCTCTATATTATCAAATAGTTTGCTTTCTCTCATTCCTAAAAATGTCGTGTTTTTATTATAATATGTCCCGAAATAATAAGTCACCTTATGCTTTCGTAGTTTAAGTAAACTTCAGGTTAATACTATTGTAAAAAACTAAATTGGCATGATAATCATGTAATAATTAAAATAGAGAAAGTATCTCAATTCAATTCCTTAGGAATGATATACTTTCATATACAACTTTCTTTAATGAAAATGTAGCTTAATTATCAATTAAGAGGGACAAAAAAAAAAGAGAAATAAACATAAAGTCATAAATGTTGTTTAACACAAAAATAGTCTATTTAGGCTGTTATGCGTGCTACTGCCTATCAATTTTGTTTGTCAATTAGCTAACTTGTCCTGTTTGGTTGGCTGGTAGTACTAGTTAAAGAACTCTCAAATTAAGTGTTGTCAAACAATGTTAATACTTATGTTACTCAAACTCTTACATTTACATCTATCAATCCGACATGAGTAAGAATACTTCAACTTAACATATTTATTCAAAGCGTAAAATTTTCATTAATTATCAAAATCTATCCAACACTTTGACATGTACCTGTGTCTGATATGAGTTATCGAGTCTTATTCATAGTTATTCTAGAACAAGTAGGACATAACCAAAAAGGGCAAGGATCCAATAGACAAAGTAATAAGCCCTTTTTAACTATCTAGTATAGGAAAGAGTAACAATCAAACATGTCAATTAACTACTAACATTGCCAACCACAAACTCCAAAAAGCATAAACCAAAACTCCCATTGATGTCACTTAAACTTGCTAATCTAATCTTAAACACCCCACCAAAAATGGACCCCACTTTTTTATTAGACCCATAAAAACATGAAAAATACAACAAAAGGCCCCATGCCACGTATGTGTATCCTATGTAACCTATTTTACCATCTTTTTTTAACTTTCTAGTCAAATCCAAATAGTCAAAGTATAATAAAATATTATGGTAATGGTATATTTTCTACCCTTGATAATTAAAAGGTAGTTAAACATGGGTTACTTGCTCTCTAATGAAAACAACGTAAGATAAGAGAGTAATAAGACAGATGAGTCACGTGTCAATGGCATAAAGGATGGTTTAAGAAGTTGGTTAATTAGGATAATAGGATTAATGCAAATTCGACACATAAGTTCACCCTCTTTCAAAGGCATGGCAGTAGATTGAAAACCTTAAATCATGCATCAATACAGAAAAGAAAAATTCCTCATTCCATTGAAGATATGACCCTTTGTCCCGAAGGAGGTATTTCGTAATAATTATATTAAAATAAAATAAAAATTATACTATCAATATGTGTAGTTTGAAATAAGGAATACAGAATGATAAAAATTTCGCAATATTTTATCTTATTATTTATTTATTTTTATGAGAAAAAAGTCAATAATAATGTGAGAGACAAGGATTATCTTAGGGATCTTATGAGTTATGAACAATTGGCTATGTGTGAATTAAGGTCAAGGGCAACTTTTGGAGACCTAAGATATGTAAAAGAGATAAATTAATCTAGAATATAATAGATCACATCAAATAAAACTATGACAAATCTGTCAAACTATATAGGTTCAAGGTACTGATCACGAAATACACTTTTATTTTTTGTAAATAATATACAATAAATGTTGAATATTCACTTAAATGATAAAAGATTAAAGAATTGTAAGAGATACGAGTAAAAAAAAATTAAAGTAATTTATATTGCGTATAAGGGTTTTTTTTTTTTTTTGAAGAAATATTGCGTATAAGTTAGTACACATTTAATGAAATTTTTTCAAAAAGACGAATACAAGTAGCATTTATAACATAATATATTTGACTTGTACTGTCATTCAATTTTAGACTTGTAATTAAAAATTAAAATATGCATTCCACAGTTTATAATAGTTTTGAGATATTTTGATTGGATTACTATCAATATCAATGAATTTTCAAGCCTAGCTAATTTACAGAGCATTTAAAAAGAAATCCGCAATTAATACCAGTTTAAAGATCTTTTGATTAGGTGAATTTTTTTTCTTAGGAGCTGTAATTCCAAAAATAATTATATAATTTATTATTAGCACGTTCAACCTTATATATCCATCATTTATTAATAAAGGCATCAATAATGCATCATCAGTTTCTACTTATTCTAATTTAATGATTGCATAATTCCTTTGACAATCAAAATAAATAATAATTAAATACACTTATTTTAAATTATAACCTTTTTTTTTTTTTTTTTTTACAAAATAACCTGGTTTTTATTATTAAAAGTAATAACAATAGAAATTTCATTATGATATGTATATTCAGACTTTGATTCGTCACCTATATTTAATAGGTCTATAACTCTCTATTTAATCTCAAACTCCATATATCAAAAGTACTAATTCATACAAGTACTTACAACTTAGCAAAGTAAAAAACATAGGATGAATAAATCAAGTACAAAGAATTTTGACTAAGGCAAAAGTCAAACAATATAAATTGGGACCCCCTAAGACTCACAGTGAACAAAACACCCCAAATCCGCCACGTGTACGGCACAACAACCTCTACACTTTTTTCCGAAGAATCCGAAATCTACT